AAGAAAAATCATGGTCCGAATCGAATAAGACCATTACTATACAATTACTTTCATTTTTTTTACAATTTTTTAAGTTTAAGCCAAAAACACATGTCCCTATCGATAAACCAAGCCCTGTTCGAGAGTAGAAATCCTAAATGAGCCATGAACACCACTCCACTTCTGGGCAATATAAAAATATTTTATACACTACTAAATATATATAGAAAAATGTACAAGTTTAGAAGACTTCTTGAGTGCAGGTCAATTTTGAGCCTCGATAACAAATATTACAATGGCTTCAAAAATAGCCAATTTTTGCCCGTAATTATTAACATTTTTTTTTTTCAAAGTTCTAAGTTTTAACATCTTACCCTATTTTTAACTGTACATTTTGAAATTCGAACTCGAACTCGCTACTTCAACATTCAAAAATTTGCCACAAAATATTTACAAGTTTTATTCTATTTTTTTTTTTAATTTCATGCGCTCATTTAGCAATTCAGCTACAAGAGATATGTTTGGGGATTTTTAACTGAAAAGGACGGACATGGGTGACAAAAGCAAAAAAAAATTAATTGATTGGTGCCACATTGTATTTAGAAGACAATCGTGTCGCCGTTTTTTTTTTAATAATTTATAAATTAACTAAAATAACTGTGATTTCGTAAATAAAATTAGAAAATAATGCAGGTATTCTACGTTATTGAACAAGAATTTTAATCAATCACTTTGTAGGCGTTTTTTACATTGATCAGTTAAATTTTTACATCTCATAATAAATTAAAGTGTTTGGTATTAACAAACTTCCCATTTCATTAAATTTTAATGAAATTAGGAACCTGCCTTATATTTTTACAATATAATTGTCCGAATCCGACATCTTTATAAAGAGCGATATTCAAACAAAATACCTACTAATTGTGTGGCACCAACAATGCAATCCAATTATTTATTATTGGTGAAAAGCACACATTATCCAAATTTTGGGTTTTAGTTCGCAAGTATTTTTGTTTTAATTAGAGTTTGTGTTTGATCTTAAACTTAAATCAGGAGATCAAGACAAATAATAAGACTAAAATTACAAGGTCGAGTGTCCCCGAAATAGGAACCTGCTGTGGTCGTATATATATCACAATTCTGTTTTTGTTTCTACGGGGCGGCGAATCAAGCGTTCCTTCTTTTTCTATCCCTTACAATAATATGACCGATCGGATTCGTATCTGCCAGATTTTTACAAAAACGATTCCTAGAAAAGTGTTTTCTGCCATTTGATGTAGCCGATAATTTCAAAATGACACGTACAAAGGCTAGAGAAATATTGCTAGATAATACAATTACTAACGATACATTGAGGTAGCTACGTTGATCACTTTTTCTCGGAGATTAAAATCATTTGCACAGATCAAATCAGAGTGCGGAAATTGTATACGAGGTGTTTGAAAGTTAAACGTATAATAGCAGGATAGTTAAGTACAAAAAGGATGTGCTGTTTTTGGTCTATTTGAATGTACAGTAGAACCTCTTGTTTTTGATATTCCGTGAAAGAATCAAAAGTGTTGCAAGACTGACTAAAAATTATAACATTGGAAAACAAACGATGACATTGTGAAAAGAAAGTTGAGATTTGTAGCTAAAGCTGACAGTGCAAAAGCTATGGTCTGAGAAAAAAGAGACCTAAAAGAATCTACATTTTGAGAACCTTGTAATGCTATGTCTAAGTGGTCCTTACAGACAAGAACGAAAAGTAGACTGTATTTTTTAAATATAACGTTTGCTTTGTTTCTTTACTTATCAAAATAAGTTTCGTTACTCTAATTCGTATATGTCGAAAGTCCATTTTTTACTAATTTTACAGGAAACTGTAAAAATAATAATGAAAGTGTACAAAAGTCTCAGTTACACGACGGTTTCTAAAATGACTAAAGTAATAATAAATAGTAGTTTTCTTAATTGTAGGATTTTTATTAGCTAGATTAGTCGCGTGTTAACAAGGTAGCGAAAAAATTTCAATTTAGACAAAAAGTGACTTCCAACATTTGCGAATTAGGGCAAGGTTATTAAAAAATGAAAAACGAGGTGTTTGGATTATCTGTTATTTCAATTATTGTATGACAAAAATGCTGTCCCGACTGATTCAAATATTCGAGGTTCTACTGTATTTTACCTTTTTTTATTGTTTAAAGAATTTAAAAAACTAGAATTGTCAAAAAATTCTAAGATTACCTATTTTATTCCTTAAAGTCTTTAAAAAACTAGATTGGTCAAATTAGAGGCGATATTGTGACAAAAAATTTCAATATTATCTATTTTATTCCTTAAAAAGTATTTAAAAAACTAGAATGGTCAAATTACCGACGATATTGTGACAAAAAATTCCAAGATTATCTATTATTATTCCTTAAAGTCTTTAAAAAACTAGAATGATCAAATGACCGACGATATTGTGGCAAAAAATTCCAAGATTACCTATTTTATTCCTTGGTCTTTAAAAAAACTAGAATTGTGAAATTACAGACGATTGACAAAAAATTCCAAGATTACCTATTTTATTCCTTAAAGTCTTTTAAAAAAACTAGAATTGTGAAATTACAGACGATTGACAAAAAATTCCAAGATTACCTATTTTATTCCTTAAAGTCTTTAAAAAAAACTAGAATTGTGAAATTACAGACGATATTGTGACAAAAAATTCCAAGATTACCTATTTTATTCCTTAAAGTCTTTAAAAAAACTAGAATTGTGAAATTACAGACGATATTGTGACAAAAAATTCCAAGATTACCTATTTTATTCCTTAAAGTCTTTAAAAAACTAAAATGGTCAAATTACCGACGATATTGTGACAAAAAATTCAAAGATTACCTATTTTATTCCTTAAAGTCTTTAAAAAACTAAAATGGTCAAATTACCAACGATATTGTTGCAAAAAATTCCAAGATTACCTATTTTATTCCTTAGTCTTTAAAAAAACTAGAATTGTGAAATTACAGACGATATTGTGACAAAAAATTCCAAGATTACCTATTTTGTTCCGTAAAGTCTTTAAAAAAACTAGAATTGTGAAATTACAGACGATATTGTGACAAAAAAATCCAAGATTACCTATTTTATTCCTTAAAGTCTTTAAAAAACTAAAATGGTCAAATTACCGACGATATTATGACAAAAAATTCCAAGATTACCTATTTTATTCCTAAAGTCTTTAAAAAACTAAAACGGTCAAATTACCAACGATATTGTTGCAAAAAATTCCAAGATTACCTATTTTATTTCTTAGTCTTTAAAAAAACTAGAATTGTGAAATTACAGACGATATTGTGACAAAAAATTCCAAGATTACCTATTTTATTCCTTAAAGTCTTTAAAAAAACTAAAATGGTCAAATTACCGACGATATTGTTGCAAAAAATTCCAAGATTACCTATTTTATTCCTTAAATTCTTTAAAAAACTAGAATGGTCAAATACAGACGATATTGTGGCAAAAAATCCAAGATTAAGACACAATACAAATATAAAATTGGATTTTTTTGAAGTTTTATAAAAAAATACAGAAAATGTGACCCTAATACCTACATAATATTTTGTATTATAAAATAAAGTTACAAAAATTTGAACATCTGGAAAAATTGAGAACAAACAACACTTCGGTAGAAAAAAAGACATTGGGTTGTAGTATTTCTTTGGGAACATCACAAATATCTTCTTCAGACAAATTCTGAGATACTTCATTGTTGATTAATTTAATAATTTGGATAGGGTCACTTTTAAAACAGACTTTACATTGGATATAGCCGGTTTTGCAATGCATCCCAATATTTGGGTGCAGATTTCAGTGAGATGGAGTCGCTTATGATATAATCGGAATATACCATATAATAAAGCTTACTTCATAGTACACTTTCGCACTTTAAAATTAAGTTTTGCAAGTAGACGACTCACATACCTTTAAACTATTTTTATGACCTGCAAACAATTCTATTTATTAAAAGTTTGGTTAGAAGTAGAAACATTATTGCGTCACACTAATATGGCGTATAATTTACTGCTAATGATCACCCATCAAATCCAACAACGAATGAAACATTATCATTTGTCTGCTCTGGGATTTGAACCTATGGGTCGACTGTCAGTAATTTGAGCGCTGAAAGTACTGAGCTACCTTTACGAGATATGGGTGTATGTGTTTACAGTAACAAAGACAGCGAATTCGTCAAAAGTCTTGGAATGAAACCAATTACAAAAGATGTGTAACCCTTTTCCTAGGGAAGATTTGTTCTGATTTACCCTCGAAAATTATCAACATCGTCAGTATATTCTTCCATTTTGTTTATTTAACTCTTTTATTACATTTTTTGTAATGTTCATTTTAAATTAGCTAATATTTTTCTATTATTTCCAAAAACAGCAATAATTCACTACTAAATTTCTGTAATAACCCAATACTTTTTTAACTTTAATTCATCGAATCATTAGGTGCATTTATGGAGTCCCTATTATTCTCATAGGGAGTGTATTGTTATTTCTTAAACGGCAACAGATAGACAGTTGGATAAATTAGACAAAAGTTGTGCAGTTATGTGCCAAGAAATCTTTGATATCCACAGGGAGGTTCAAAATATCTATAAATATAATAAAATTGTAATTTCTTTCAATTCATTCATTTTTTGTACGATATTTTGAATAACTCTGTAGATATCAAAGGTTTCTTGGCACAATTTCTTTCTGATAGAAATACAGTTCCTTTGAAATAGTAGGAACCCTTTCTATATAGAACTGTTTCCACTAATAGGAATGTGTGGAAATAATAAGCATTAGTAGTAAATTCGAATACGCTTGATCGCCGCTCCTAACTGAAAACACATTATCTTACAAAAAAAGAAAGGTTACGTAACAAAACAATCACGGAACAATGAGGAAGTTTTCGGAAGGTCACAAGTTTCAAATATTCATAAAAATATTATTAAAACAAAAAACTATTTTTATCTTCCATTTATCACTAAAAAAACACATTTCACCCTTGAATGTGAATTAAAACTCCAGTGTTACTAGTGTGAATTGACAATATTTTTGATTTGTAAATTTGAGAACTAGATTTAAAAACAATTCACACTAGACCAGTTTTTTCTGTCTGTGTTGTAAACTGATAAGATAGAAACCTACTTTACTGAATATTCATGAATCATAAATTGACTTTAACATAAACAAACTGAATAAAAAAACAAAAATTCATGGGAAACATGCCTCTGTACCCTTCAAGATAGTCAGCCTTGCTTATAGCCCTGAAATATTTGACGGACCTTGCATAAATAATCGTGTTTCCTTACGTGTATTGTTAAGTGTTTCCAAAGCTGATTTATAATTAAAGGGCTCTAAACATTTCCCACAATTCACAGATTTTTCACAAGTGTCAATTATTAAATTGTTTTTAATATAAAGCAAAAGAAAAACACTTAACCATTAAAAAAATGATTGAACAGGGATGAAGCGACTAGTTTCGATCTATAACCATCGTCAGGCTTGCGAGCAAAACTTAACAAGTCCAACATAACTCAAAAGTCAGATAAGTAATATTTTCCCTACAGCTTTTAATAAAACTAGCTTTAGAATGTATTTTAAGTTTTGAATACCAAAAATTTTTCAAAAAACGCCCGCAGTTTATGAGATATACAAAGAGAAAGTTTGGACTTCGATGACGATTGTTCCCTTAAATCTCAGACCGACAAACAATCATAGAAAATCTGTGAGCTTACTATTTCTATCTTTAGATTAAACTTTTGCTCTCCACAAAATAGATAACACCAACGGTATTAAATAGTACATTAATCATATTAATACAAGGCTATGAATACTTTTCAATTTTGCGGTGAAAGGGTTTATTTCTAATTTAATAACATATGGATATTTGTTACATTTTGTTGTAAAATAGCATATAAATTTATGGGAATGTAATTTGTTCAGTTTTGTTAAACAATAGGAGTTTGATAGTACCTTTAGAATATGATTTTGTCTAATTTTGGTGTAAAATTGTTGTGAACTTGCACAATAACTTGTATATTTATGTTGGACGTGTTAAGTTTTGCATGCGAGCTCTTCAGATATGATTATGATGTATAACAAGTTATAACAATGTGAATAGTATTAATAAAGATGTGATAAACAATATTAAGTACTAAGGAAATACAAATTAAAAAAAAAATAATAAATTTGATCTAAACTAGTCGATTCAACTCTATTTTTTCTGATTAAAAGACTTAGTTTTTCTTTTCCTTTGTGAATATACCACTTTTTAGATATTGATAATATTCTTATTCTGTTTTGAATATGTTTTACCATTGAGTGGAAATAATTAAAAGATTAAAGACTAGTGTGTATTTTGAAATGTATCTCGGAAAAAACGTAAACACTTTAAAATTTTGTTATAAATAATAATAATAATAATAAAAAATTGTATTCAATTACCGGAAATATCACATATCATCCCAAAATTAAAATATCTTTACAAGAAATTAAATAATTAAAAAAACGAACTTTCAATTCAAGAACGTTTCAACTTTTTAAAAGTAAGACCGTGTCGAAAACCTCCTCATCGTGAGTGAAGAAAAAGAAAAACAAAGAAAAAGTAGGATTAAAGACGCCTATCACTAGAAAAACAGCACTCGTCATTAGCGCGTATGTGTGTGTCTGTCTGTAATTCAATGAGAGCGAAAGAGTGTCTTCATCTATTCCGCTTCTCTCAACTTTTTTTTAACTTATGATTTTTTTTTAAACTTTGAACACATTAAAGCAGTCGGGTTGGCGGCAGCTTCTGAGCGCCTCACGAGCTTCAGCTCTGCTTCACCCGCTTCCTCGGCGGTCCTATGGGCGGGATTTGCTGCGTCGCCAGCGCCCTAAATGCTTCGGCTATCAGGTGGGGATGCGTCTGGATCATAGACTTCCAGCCAGGAGTGTCCATAACGTCCGTGGCATGTCTGAAAATAAAAACAAAAACTTTAGTCATTATCTAAATGTTGTTTCATACCTCTACTATAAAAACATGAATATACTCACGTATTAATAAAATCTATGGCTTGAGCTTTCAGCTGGTCGGCGCTATGCAAGTCGGCCAGGATGAGAATTTCTGCTGCATTATCTATCGATAAATTTGTACATAAAGCTTCTTCGCACATCACTTTTAACCTCTCCAAAGCATACTGTAATAAACAAAAACGATTTTTCAGTACACTGAAGGTAAAAGGGCACCAAGTCACAAATATCAAAGTTACTATTTGTCTTTTATATTTATGTCACTGTGTTCCTTTAAGATTCATTTGCATTCGGAAATGGGCTTGTTCTGTAAACAAATAAATAGATTTCAAGTCTTTATTTGATGTACAAAAATGAAGGTATCTAGTATTTTAAAAAAGTTTCTACCTTATCGGCCGCAGCAAGGAGATCATCAGCCATTTTTTCGAGATTTGAGGCCTTCCCCGTGTAGATAAACCTCAGCATCTCTCGCAATACTTCGTGGTCCACGTCCGTTATATCTACCCTATTGTGTTTCCGTTCCTCCATTTCGTGTTCGAACATCGCCTGGAAGACAGGACTCCGCGCTGAAAAATACAAATCTGTTGAACAACTCTGCCATCATTTTTACTGTTATTGCACCAATATTGTAATAACGAATGAAAGTATGTCTATTGTCTTGTTAAGTCATAACCCAACTATAAAATTCGAATTACTAATGAATGTAAATAAATTACCTGCTAATATTGCCTTGTGGGCTTGAAACTCCCTTCCACCTACAGACAACGTTACATCGCTGAACTTTTGATTTTCGAATAGTAAACCTAGATCATCTGACAGTCTACATTCTGGAACCTTAAATTGTATTGTATTCGACTGGCCTGAAATATTTACACTATCTGCTACCACGCTCACCTAAAACAATAAAAAAAAACAAAAATAAGTAAAGAAGTGTATAAAAACTCTTCAAAGGGTTAAAAAGACAAGGAAATAGTAGTTAAGGCAACAAGGGACCTAATAGTATGCAACATCATTGCAAGAAAAAGATGGATAGTTATAATGAGACCAATCATCAATTACGGGGCTGGATCCTCGAGTCTCTGACATAGTTTATCTATTACGAGAACTAATAAAGAGATAATGATCAGCAACAGAGTAATCGGAAAGAAGCCTATCATCTTCAGAACCGAAGATACCTGGGATATGCTCAGAACGAAATGAGAAAGAAGTACAGTTTTGTGAATAAAAACTTTAAAACCAAAGAAACGGGCTTGCAAGAAAGAATGAAGTCAAGAATCAATCATATTTGTAACTGAAAGGCTTGCAATTAAATAATGGATGGTTCCAAAACCATAAAAAAAAATGGAATAGAAGACATGTATTGGCCTAGAACCAAGTATTCTGAAAGTTTGTGTAAATACTCAAGCAGCTTCCAGGTGGAAATTCAAGTCATGGATTGAGAAGTGTATCCAGTTCAACATCAATACAAACTATCGCAGACAATAGATTATTATCATGCCCGATAAATATAAGTCATCAAAATGCTGAAGCTCTTATGTAATCTGCTTAAAAATGGTGTGGGGATATCTAGAAAAACTGAATAAGCTTGGCGAGGAAAATATAGTTAATCTTAATTAGGTCCCGGGACACAACAGGATACAGGATAATGAGATTACAGATAGTCTCGCAAGGAAAGGGCCTTCCAAGACCCTTTGTGAAGAAGAACCGACAAATGGGACTAAGTTTCTTCTGGGTGACTATAACGAGAAAATATCAAAATTCTGTATTTGTCTGAGCAAGAACAGTCTAATGATAGTAACGAAATCCTTATCGGGAATTGCCTACTCAAAGGACACCTTGGTAAACTAGGACCAGTAGAAGATAATGATTGTAGATTCTGCGAGGAGAACAAAACCTCCAGTGTAGCACTTCAGAATCCAAGGGCACTATACTTAGAAGAACCCTACATTTTTTTACTAAAATAAGATTGGAAGGGTCTGTATGGACGTCGATATTATTCCCTTGCTGCCTTAGCAACAGAACGTTAAGCATTCCAAACAAAATGGTTATCCGTAGGTAATGACAGGCCATTGACAAGATATGATATGGCAACACTGTGGGCCTGGTGATTTGACAGGATCAATGATATAGATAGTTACATAGATTGATCATCCATGTTTTTAAAAATAAACAAGCTTATGCCTTGAAATAAAAATGTACGTAATTATTTTTTTTAATATATTCAAATGCTGAAAAAGTAGATAGATTTGTCGAACGAACAATTCTGAAAAATGGTCCAAACAACTTTTCAAAAGTAAAAAAGTGTTGTGCGCATGCGTCAAATTATATAAAATAATTTTATGCATTTCTAATAAACAAAGGCAAAAATATAGTTTAAAAAATAAGAAACAACAAATTTTCTTATTAGTATTTAAGTAATTTAGTTTTTTTGAGTTTGTTTTTTAAATTTATTTAAAATCTATCACATATTAATTTTCAATATAAATCTACAAATAAATACTTTTTTTATTAAATTATATTTAAAATATCCAATTTTAAAATCATTTAGGGCATTAGGGCATAAGCTAGTCGACAATAAAAGAAAAACTAAATATTAACTCAATAAAAATTGTTATAAAACAGATGAAAACAAAAAATCCTTTATCAGAATCCAACAATCCATAAAGAAAAGACGGCCCTGTCTGGCTTGAATGAGACGGCCTTGACTACCTTATACCTTTATATCTAGCTTTTCAAGATTGACTCCTTTTCACAACTTTTCCGGAGATGTCAAAAAATTACTTTTCCTGAAAAGACCCATTACTAAGTACTGTGATTGATCACTACCCCATACATAAGGGTTAAAAAGGGTTTTATCCTATTATTCGGATGTGGTAGTTTCAAAGTTTTATCACTACTTTATTAAAGTGACTTACTTTTCATAATATTTAATGAAAAATTAGATACGAAAAATTATGTTTCATTTGCTAATTAATATTATAATAAAAAATAAACTATTTTGACTGCTTAACTTAACTTTCAATATTTCTTTCCACAAAACATAGAATAAAATATTGATTGACATATGCGGTCATTGAGTTTGCAACGTTGCCACATTGAATCCTATTTAATTTTATTCACGTTCAACTCCAATTATTTCGTATTTCTAATAATCTTCCTTGTTCTAACAATATTTTATAATCAGGTTACTATTAACGTTGTTTTTTACCCACCCAGGAGCCCTATTAATTAGTCACTCCCTTTAATTTGCAACCTGGCAACGTTGCTATTCTAAAGTCAGAATTTGTAATATAAAATAGATTTTTGTGCACAGTGTTGCCAGTTTGTTAAAAACAAATCTATTACATTTTGGAAAGGTTTATTACATTATTTCATTTCCAGTAAATCTATTACATTTTCACGAGCCTCGAATGACGAACGATTGATGAACTTTTGCAGTGGGATTCTCATATTTCGTTGCGTCTCGTATCGAGACGCCTATCTTCGTTCGACAGATGGCGATTCTTATGTAGTCTCTCTCTATTCGATAAGAAACGTGTTGATTTTGAACATAAGAATTCCCTGTGTTGATTTTATGTTCCTAATAATACATTGTTTTTATTTTATACAACTAATACACGCTAATACCACCTCAAACATGTTTCCTTGATTAGGTTTAACCCAAACGTGTTTCCTTGAGCCCGCACAAAGCGCTAAAAAAGTTTCGTTTATCATTGGATGCCAAATTTTTGTTGGTTAAGGGTCGATCTTTTCACCTCTGAGCAAAGTTACATGTAAGTTTACTTGACAGATTAACAAACAATAGCCCTATAGTTTAATCAGCAAGTAGTTACTTTCAACTTTACTCAGAGGAGAAAGGACTGGCCCTTAATCGTTCTTTTTCTTATACATATTAATAAAAGAATGTGGACTTACACGGCTATCATAAGACCTATGCTAACATAGGGTGCAGTTGTATGGGTACCGAAAACCTAAAAATTAACAGCTATCCGTAAACTAGAACAAATTCAAAGAACAGCATGTCTCATCATAACAGGAGCCATGAAAACAACACCGACTAGAGCCATGGAAGTCATTCTTAGTCTCACTCCCCTTGATATTTATATCAAGGATATTGTTCTGTCGAAAATTACACGCCTCCTCACGGTCGGAATAGAACCTGGTGAGGCGAGACGTCGCTTTTGGGAGGAAGCGTTCGATCGCTCCCACTGCTTAAAGCTAACATGGACTCCATCTCACCAAGATATATCTTCCATAAGCCATATAAAGTTATAATAAAACAAATATTAGAGCCGCAAGTGACAGGTACGATTCATATCTACACCGACGGTTCTAAAACAAAACAAGGATGTGGAATATATATTCTTAAACCTAAACATAAAATGATCCGTGAGCAATAGTGCCAGTGTAGTTCAAACAGAGCTAACGGAGATTCTCATAGCAGCAAAAGAAATAACCAGAAACAATATCACTGGAAGGAACATGCTCACCTATAGAGATACCAGACAAGCACTACTCACCTTGAACAGACCACGAATTTATTCAGGGTTAGTACTAGAATGTCACGAAGCTTTGGCCGAAGTATCCATCAACAATGTGGTCACCTTAAGATGGATTAAAGGTCACGCCACATCAAAAGGTAACTGTCTTGCTGATTCACTAGCCAAGAAAGCAGCCAACCAAATATTTATTGGACCTGTCCCTTCTATTGGCCTGACAAAATCGGTAGTGACAGACCTAATCAAAGAACATTCCCTTGTGAAATTCAAGGAAAGATGGGATGAAACAAGATACTGCAAAGTTGTCAGGGAGTTCTTAAGTTATCCTGACAATACTGCAGCAAATAAATACTTGAATATGACTAGACATAAAATGCGCCTAATCACAGGCATTCTGACTGGTCATTGCCAAGTAAGGAAGCATCTCCATATCATGAGGCTGTCAAAATCCGCTCTCTGCAGAAAGTGCGAACAAGAAGATGAGACCATCGAGCATATCCTTTACGGTTGCTCGACGCACTCATTTATTACAAGATTTGTGTTCGGCGAGTATCGGCTAACACCGACCGATATAAGAGAAAGCACCTCTTGGCGACGTTGTCAACTACATTAAATCTGTAGGTTGGCTCACGAGCTAGGAGGTGCCTATCATCTCAGGAGGATGCACAATGGACTTAATGAGGCCTAAGTGCCGTGGGATAACCCACCCTCCACACATTACAGATACAGAAAAGAATGTGGAATAAAAATACCCTCGTACAATAATTGAAAGATTGTCGTTGTTCTTATCAATAAATAGGTATAAATGTAAAATAAATTAAACATTAAATATTAATCATCAATATCAATACAATATTGGACCATTTTTTAAGTATAGTTAATTTTGTTACTAAAATTTCTATTACATTTTCTTGAAATCTATTACATTCCTTCATTGTGATCTGGCAACACTGTACATTCTCTAAGAATCTGGTACTCTAGTACACTTGAAGTAAAATCTAGTACTTTGCTTTTTTCAGCGTATGTTTCCATTTTACGTGTAAAATATATTGTTGGGGGGGGTCTTCCTTGGTTGTGTTGTTCGTTTTTTTTTTTGTTTTTCAATGAACCAAACCATCACAATTCAAAAAATCTGGGTACATTTTATAGAATCTGGTACATTTTTAGACAAATCTGGTACATTTTTTAAACAAATCTGTTACATAACAAAAATATATTCTGGCAACACTGTATGTCAACACTATTCATATAACCTATAAAATTGTTTTTTATTTCTTGAAAATTAGTATATTTACGGAAGTTTATTATAAAACTAGTTACTTTTGGCGTTTTAAATTTTTTTGCGAGTTTCACACATGCGGTAACTTAAAAAGCAATAAAAAAAAATGTACTTACTTCACAAAATATCGTTAACTTGTCGTCGGGAAGTAAACCGTTCGCTTCATCCAAGAGAAAATCCCTTCTGATGAACTTCTTGAAACCCCAGTCTTTCCCTTGCACAAACCTATACGCTCGTTGGCTTTCCATAGCCTTTGTCTCTTCGCGTTTCGCGTTTAATATACTAAATTTAAATTTGGCTCTAACTTCACTTTTATTGCACGATACTAATAACAAATATAAGGATAAATAGTCTTTGCTTTCTTCGTCCAAGCCTTTAGGATTCACTCTCAGACACCTGCACAATTAAAGAAAAAAATTAATTAGTGAAAAGTTTGACATAACCTCAAATATTCATATGCAAATTTTCTTACCATTTTAATTTGTCGTTGGCTCCTGCGGAAAACGTTGATGATTTTAGAACCTCCCCCATTTCTTCTCGACAAAAACTAAAGTTGTTTATGGTCCACATATAACTAAATTTGACTACTTTAACCTGTAACAAAATGAAAGATAATTAATAAAAAATAGGTAGGTATATCGAAAACATTAGATTTCTAACTTTCTTCAGCGTAAACAAATATCCCGGCGCAATTTTTGAAAGATCGTTTATAATTCTAATCACTCTCTCCATCACATTAATTTAAAAAATTAAAATATGCTTAAAAATAGACGTAAATTCCTTAAAAATATTGTTGGACTTAAACTACTGTCATTGCTTGTCAACTGTTTCCATGGCAATCTTTATTATTGGCATAAATTAAAATCGCAAATGAAATGTTTATAATAAAATAATGTTGATTGCTTTAAAAATGAAAAACATGGAAAGTGGCCCTTATTACAACAGTGGCGTACATATATATTTAACAATAAACGTGGGAACAATAAAAATTTTGCCATCGCCGCACCCCGTACAATTTTTTCATTACCGAATACAAATTAAAATGGGATGTTGATGTTGTAATGGTTTTGTAATTTACAATGAGAATATACCTATATAACAAATGAACAAATAGTAATTTGAAATCACCTTTCGGTGACCTTTCCAAAATGAGTCAAGTCCGATCTAGGTACTTACCTACTCATTGAATAAGTAAACTTGAAATTTTAAAACGAATTTAAGTATCTATCTACAGGATGTTGGTTGTAGATTTGAAAGATGGCAATGACTAATTTTAAAGTGAGAAAAGAAACTCGATTTTACAAATTTTTCAGCTTTTAAAGACCAATAATTTAAATACTAAGTAGAAAGTATGCTATAAATGACAATTCTCAAAACATTGGATGATTTCATTTAAAAATAAATAGTAACAAGTGGAAAATGACTAATAAGTACATGTCAAAAATAGATCATAAAATATTAAAGATGACGTAGAGAATAAAAACTTAAAACAAATCGTTGTCCCATTTCAAAACTGTAACATCTCAAAAATTTTAGGATTTGAGATAAGAATGTAGTCTTATAGCAAGTAGGGTAAGATCTATACAGTTCAACACGTCTCAAAAGATTTTGTTTCTACATTTTCTTCTACAAAATGTCCTCCTTGCATTCTTATTTCAAATTCTAAAACTTTTGAATGTTACAGTATTGAATTTTTATTTTCCTAATTTTTTTCCTGTTACACACTCACTTACCCTTTTAAATAAAAATTGGAAACTTAATCTTTAAAACCCCATAAGAAAACAAAAAACTCGATAAAAAAAAGTGGAGCATTTCTATACTAAAATCGGAAGTAAAAAATCCACAAACGTAAGGCGGTCGACAGATTGAGACCTTGATACTTTTTTTCCCATTTTTTCCTCTCTTCGGTTTTAAAATTCGTGTGTAGGGCTGCTACCAAGGACGACGGTTTTTTGGGGGCCATCGCATCATGGCCGAGTTTCTCTCTCCCAGAGGATGCGAGAGCGAGAGGGAGAGGGAGAGAGACAAAGAACGACAGGGCCGTAGTAGTTGCGATAGACACAAAATTAATACATTTATATAGCATTCGACTTTTTTTGCCATCTAGATTTATATTTGTGTATACAAAGCGGACATGTACTATACATACAGGGCGTTATATAAGTATAGAGTACCTGTATAATTCCATAAAACATACAAATTTTAGGTTTCAAGTATGGATATGGTTCGTTTGGAAATTATGAAAACATACTTCTCGGCATGAGATTTATTTAAAAAACTATTATTGATAGTTTTTACTAGATCCAGTCATGGAAAGGAATTTTAATCGATCAAAGGAATAATTCTAAATAGTGATCCACAAAAAATGGTTTTAAAGTAGGCCATTACCGAGAAAGGCAGAGATACGGGCCATTTTCGTGATAACTACGCACGGCTTTGAATTAAATTCATACTGACAGATAAAAAGAATTGTACGGCGTTGATATAAGTGAATTTTTACTACTTTAGAAACACATTTTGTAGATCACTCCTTCAGATTAGGTATTTAATGTATTTTAAGGTTTTATGGGCGATCTAAGGATTTATCTGCTTTTCAGTAATTTTGAACGTTAATTTTAATTAAAAAAATTTGTTTATAAATACGGTTTACGTGTATGACAATGGGTACTGTGAATAAAAATTGCGTCTTAGGTTGGTTACTTTGTGATGTATTTAGTTTCAGTTTCAAACTGACACATATGTATGTAAAGTTTCCGTACCTTGGTTTATTAGATATTTAATATGTACGGGGTACCGCCTAAATGAAATTAAGGCGTTTAGGATTGTAAACAACATACTAATCGTATTTAATTACGGACACATTTAAAATATATTGCGCTTTCAAATTATTATTATAAGAGTGTAGAGTATAAAAAAACGACTGCAAATGCAATTTATATGCTTACTTTTTTGGGAAAAAATTGACTTGAAGTATTTGAAGATATTAATCAGTCTGTTTGGACTAATAAATTAGGCACTAGTTTCAAGACAAAGGAGGAGTTTATGATCTATTTTAGGACCGTTTTCTTTACCCTCTTTCGATGATTTAAACCAGTATTTCCCAAAGTGGTCCAGATGGACCCCCAGGGGTCCACGAGAGACTCGGCGGATGTCTACGCTAGGCGTAATAAAAAATGGGGGTCCACAATCGTAAGCGAGGGTGCATGAAAATTAATTTGGTTTCGATAGTGAAGCAATATACTATTAAACAATTGATTACTCATTTTTCCATGTGATGAATAAATTCTTGTAAAAATCTTCCAATTGTTTATAATATAAACAGTCAACATTTTAGTTACTAAAATGTTGACCTGACTTCTCTTATCAATATAGGCAGATATTTTAGGAAGTTCAGCGACTGTTAGTTGTAGAAACATATTCCGTATTCAGCACAACGCGTCGAGACTTGTCGTTGCCGCGCCGGCCGCCGTCCCGTCCCGTCCGCAACGCTTGTTCAGATGTGCAAATTAATACGACTTGTGTATGTGCTTGCAATCTTGCATGAACGTGTTTGATTCTTCACCAATATAAATACGAATGTCAAAGATAATCGTTACGCATTTGTTTCTGGAATTTCATAAAGAAAAGTAAAGATTTGAAATATTTCCAAATATTAAAGGAAAAATATAAAAAGAGACTCACCGTGCACAGTATGTTCTCTTCAACGTCTGAAAGCAACGATGATGGCTTGCGGGCATTTTACAATATCTCATTACTTATCGCAAAATCTGGAAAACCGCACACCATTGGAGAACAGTTAATTTTATCTGCTGTTGAAGAGGTTTAAAAACTGTTCTGCACAAATCTTCATTTGACATACTCAAAAGAATTCCTTTGAGTAACAACACTGTACAAAGACGTATTGATGAAATGAGCTCTGATGTTGAAAGTTTCTTGTGTGATTATCTACGAACAACTCATTTTTCTATTCAACTGGACGAGTCAACTTTACCTGGCAATGAAGCATTATTATTGGCATATGTTCGATTTGTTATGAGTGAAGAAATTCATGGAGAGCTACTATTCGCGAAAACTTACCAGAGGTAATTGCGATTCACTGTGTTATCCACCGACAACATCTAGTAACAAAAAATTTGAGTGATAGATTGCACCAATCGCTTCAATTTGTGATTAATGCAGTTAAAAAAATAAGAAGCAGTGCATTGAATACGTGTTTATTTGCACAATTGTGCAATGAAAATGAAGAAGACTTCCAATGATTACTGTTACATACCGAAGTACGCTGGTTGTCGAAAGGTGCATGTTTATCAAGAGTTTATTTACTTTTTGACTCAGTTTTAGAATTTTTGGAAAGTAAAGATCCTAATTTAAAAAAAAAACTTGATTAATTTTAAAGCAGACATCGCGTATTTGATAGATTTGTTCAAAAAATTTAATGACAACTTACAATTACAAGGGGACAGCCTCAATTTGATAAAAACAAAGAGTGTAATTTCAGCTTTTCTTGGTAAATTGAAATTTATGAAAGAAAATATTGGTCGGCGTGAATTTTCACAGTCTTCAAACTTGTCGCAGGTAGAACGCCTTGATGAAGATATTCAGACATACGTTCAACATTTGATTGCTGTGCATGATGATTTTAAATTCAGATTTGAAGATATTCTGTCGATGGAAATACCACCATGGATCATAAATCCATTTGATGAAACAGAAGTGGAGAATGTGATATTACAAAAGGAGCTACTCGAGCTTAGCACTAATGAGGAACTGAAAGTGACATTTAAAAGAGGGTATCAAAAATTTTGGCTGCAGGCAGAAATACCCGAAAAATATCCTGGACTGTGGGGAATTGTGCAAAAGCTTCTGATAGCGTTTCCCTCGTCATATCTCGTCGAAAAAAGTTTTAGTGACGTTACAAACTTATTAACAAAAAAAAAAAGGAGCAGATTGAATATCACAGAAAGGGGAGATTTACGGTTATTCCCTATAAAACTGTAATTACCATTGTAGAAATTACATTACGTTATAAGTGTTTAATTTTAATTATATTACGACGGTTATAACAATAATAATTAATAAGGGAAATGTGCCTAATATCGTACATCTTCCTAATATCGCACACCATAATATTTTCTACGTCATTGCTATAAACTACCTGCAGCAGTGTGGCCAGATTGGGCGCTTTCGCGCAAATTGGGCTCTTTTCAGCAGTCATTTGCGCCGGAAAAAATCTGAAAAGCGCAAAGCGCAAATTGGGCGCTTTTATTGAACCGCACTGCGCCGCAGACTGGAATATTTTTATTCATATTTTTCCATCCATATCTAAAATTCAAAGTTAGACAGAAAACCGTGAGGGTTTCAAAAAGTTGTAAAGACAAGTAAGCCGTAACAGTAGGCGGAACTGTATTGCTAATGCTATGTGGCTAAATGTCAAAGGAAAACGGATCGGTACAGAAAAGAACTTCTTGAGAGCTTAACCTTACTTAATTTACGTTTGCTTGTCAAATATGTCAAAGGAAAGAAAAAAAGAAGTCAAAGCGAGCAAAAGTGTTAAGAGAAATATAAATCCAAAATTAAAAGCACCACCTAACAAA